GGCTGGGGAAGACAAAAAAATGGAAGTACTGGACATTTTAGGTGAATGTTTTTACTGGACCAGAGGCAAAAATACCGGACTGTCCAGTTCAATACCGGACACATGGCAACCCTAATTTCCAGGGGGCCCATTTCCCGATGATTCAGCTCTGCTAAACTTCTCCCCGCATGCTACCTGGAACCGTGGGAGCAGTAGAGAGAAACTCCATAGGGAAAGGGGAGAAGCTCTGTACAGCCCAGAGGATGGTCCGTGCAAAAGTTTCCACACCAAATGGGCTTTTTGCCCCCATTGGAAAATGCCACCTTAGTGACACTGAAACATTTTCCAAATTGAGCAGTTTCAACAAATTGACCATTTTGCAAACCCGTCCTCCCAAAAAACCCCCCCAGTCTCCTGCTGTGATTTGGGGATCTGAACATTTTGTTTCAAACTGATTGGGTTTGACCCCGAGCTGCACGTCCTCCCATCTGGGGCGCCCCCTCCTGTCCAAACATGACATTGCAGGCACTTCCCCTTTGGTCATGCTGGCAGCTGCCTCTCTGGGCCCACATGTCCTCCTGGCTCCCCCTTGGCTGCCTAACCAAGGCACATCCAGGGTTAAACCCCTTCCAGGGGCAGTGTGAACAAGGCCCAATAAAGATTCAAAGAAGCCTTCAAATGCACAGCCCTTGCCCCCTCCCTTGTTGTGTCCTGCCCCTCGGACATGCGGCCAGGAGCCCTCTCGCCGCTGTGCCTTCTCCCTGGCCCAGCCCCTCCCATCACCACCGCAAAACCATTTTTTTCCACACTTGCCAGCAAACCTCACCAGCTCCTGCAGGGAATCGATCCCAGTCACGGAGGTGCCCAGGGCCAAGCACTGGCTCCGACTGAAGTCCCAGTTCCCTTCGGTCTCAGAGAAATAGTAGCATTTCCGCTGGTAGCCAACCCAGCTGTCGGGGCAGCTGGGCGTATAGCGACGAGACGCTACCACTGCAAACAAGAAAGCACCGTGGGGTGAGGGATCTGTCCCCACTGTCCTCGGGGGCTGGGGCTCCACAGCCAGGCAGCAGGAAACCCCCAAGTGTAAAGGCCGGTGCCTTCCTTGGGGCCTGCTCAAGGAAGGTCCCCAGGGACTGGCCCTGCTGTGTCCAAGGGGAACATGGAGAAACAATCCCCTCAGAGCCAGGCCTCATTCAGAGCTTGGGCAATTGCTGGAGGGGGGTGAGGGGTGGTTAAAAATGAAACCTTTGAATGGGTATCCCTGCCCCTGATTTCAGGGGTGCTCTGGGAGGGGAGCTGGGACTCCTGGTTCTAACCCTGGTTTTAGGATGACAGTGGGGACTAGTGGCTAGAGTCAGGGGGCTGGAAGGCAGGACTCCTGGGTCTGTCTGCAGCCTCAGGAAGTGATTTCTAGGGCTGCAAGGAGGGTGCAGACCCCCTGCTGTGCCAGCCGGGCAAAGATTTAACAGAGGGACCAGTCGTTCCCTTGGCTGTAGTGAAGAGGCCAGTTGGCAGCAGCTGCTGTAGTAGGATGTGGAGAGCACTCACTGTGGGGGAGGTTTCTGCCAGACCCCCAGAGGGAAAAGGCAGGAGGAGGGGAAGGTGGGGGTAGGGAGGAGCAGGTGGGTGAAAGCTGCTTAAACAGAGGGGCCCTGGGCCAGAGCCCAGAGGAGAGGGGATGTGGGCCCCTCCCTCATGGCGGGATCACTAGGAACCCCCTCCCCCACACACACACATCTGAGAGTGAGGGAACTGAGGCAGAGGCCCTTTGGGGAGCGGGACGCACAGGGGGTGAGATGACACGTGATCTGGAGCTGCGGGAGGACACAGCAGGGAGTCCCACAGGGAGCTTAGGGGGCTGGGCCCTTACATGGGGAGGTTTGTTCAGCACCTTTCAGCTCACCCTGGAAGGGGGCAGGACGGAGGTGACCCAGCCGACCCCAGAAGCTGGCAACGGTGGCAGAGAAACAGACGGACCCTTGCGGTGCCCCCCGGCACGAGGGGGAGCTGCGGCCAGGAGCTCTGGGGATCCAGCTTTATGGGCTGGCTGAGGGGCTGCTTAATGTGGCAAATTGTCCCAGGATCTCCCTCCCCCCCATTGCCCCGAGCGTTGCAGGGGGCGGGAACTCTAGGGCTGGGCTGTGACAGCTCCCGGGGAAGGGGAAACCCAGAGACCAAGGCCGGCAGGGCTGGAAACTCACCTGCCAGAGCTACCACCAGGGAGAGGATGAGGGCGACAAGGAGGACGCTACACATCAAGCATTTGACTGTGACTTTACAGGGTAAGAGAGAGCGAAAAGCATCATGGGCAGACCCTGGAAGGGAAAGACCGTTGTTAGTGCCAGGCTGCCCTGGGAATCCCTCTGTCTGCCTCCCAAGGCCGGCAGGGCTGGAAACTCACCTGCCAGAGCTACCACCAGGGAGAGGATGAGGGCGACAAGGAGGACGCTACACATCAAGCATTTGACTGTGACTTTACAGGGTAAGAGAGAGCGAAAAGCATCATGGGCAGACCCTGGAAGGGAAAGACCGTTGTTAGTGCCAGGCTGCCCTGGGAATCCCTCTGTCTGCCTCACACAGCACCAGGGGGAGAGTCGTTGGCAGTGGGGCTTGAACTCTCGGTTTCAGCTCATCTCCCTGGCTTGCTTCCAGCCCAGAAGCTGCAGCAGACTCATGTCTACACCTCACCCGGCCACTAGAGGGCCTGTGTTAGCCTGGCTGGGCTTGGGGTAACAGGCTACTGAATTCCTCCAGCCCCTGCTCCCTCTGTAGCCCTCCCTCCCCCGCCCCCGTGAGCAGGGGCAAGGGGCTCCCAGCAGGGAAAATGTCTCCCACTTGCCTTCTCTCTGCAGCCTCTGCCCTCTGGATCCTCTGTCCTAGACCCATGAAGAAAGTGTCACATGAACGGTTTTGAAATCGGCATCCACAGAAACACCCTATTGCAGGCCTGCACAACCTATGGTCTGCGGGCCACATGTGACCTGCAGGGGCTCAGTGTGCGGCCCGTGTGAATGTGAATACTAAAACACATCGCATTTTTAAAAGCAGCAGGGACAGGGAGGGGAGAAGATCTCGTCAGTTTCAGCAGCAGCCTGTCACCTGCAGATCCACACGGAGGTAATTGACTAACAACACAACAGCACTTCTTTAAACAGCTGCCTTCCCCTGGTTTTCCTGCCTTTTTAGGCTAGAGATGCAAATTACACATACACCAGAGAGAGAGAGAGAGAGAGAGAGTGAAGAGGAGGAGAAAGAGAAGCTCTCACCCCCTCTCCTCCGCTGTCACTTGCAGGCCAGCGGCTGGGTTTCCCCAGCTGGCTTATCGCTGGTGGCTGCCTTCCTGCAAAATGGTGGAGGGTTCACCACTCACCACACCGTTCCCTGCTGACCCTCCTCCCCATGGATGCAGTGCGGGTCCTGGCAGACCCATCACAGGGGCATAATCTGAATAAAAACAAGCAATGTTCTTCCCTGACTGATGATCATTTGGAAGACATTATGAAAATATCCACTTCAAATATGACCCCCGAATACAACAAGCTTGTTGCCGAAAAGCGATGTAATATCTCTCATTAAGTTTGCAAAGTAATTAGGAAAAGTACAAATGTTTTCTTTCAACGGAACAGATGTTTTTTCCATGATTCATAAATAAAAATTAAAATAATTTTAAAAATTATTTGTTTGAATTAATTGAAATTTTTTAAATAAAGTATCAACCCCCACCTCACAAACCGAGCCTTGTGGCCCGCAGCTGTTTTCTTTGGAGTAATATGGCCCTTGCTGTTTTACGAGTTGTGCAGGCCTGCCCTAATGTCCGTCCTCCCGCCATGCGTGGGGGTTGAACCTGGGACCTCTGGCTCTACAGGTGCCACAGCCTGAGTTATAGGGGTAGAACCACTAGCAGAGAAAGCAGTAGCAGACTCGTCCATCTTGGACACAACCCCGCCCCTACAGACTCTGCAGTGGGTCGAGTCAGTACAACCGGCTATCTCAGGCCAGACGAGTTAGAACAGGGGCACCCAACCTATCCAAACGTCCTCCTTCACTCAGCACTCCTGTAGACTCAGGCAGAGAGGCTGCAAGGTAGCACCTCCCCCACCCCTTGCAATGCTGCCAGCAGCCAGTGGGGGGCGCTGCAGGCCAGAAAGGAAAACATCCCTTTAAGATGCATGTGACATGAGAAGGGCTTTAGATGTCCAAGATGCCTGGCTGGAGCGTCCTTCTCACATGCTCCGGGTGTAAATGATGATCAGATCTGGGGTCAGGAAGGAATTTTCCCTCAGGCCAGGTGCCTTGGGGGAGGTAGGTCGTGTCTCCCTGTGCACATGGGCTGTGTGGGGCCTGTTGGGACCCTCTCAACACATTTCACAAGGTTCAATGGTGCCACCATGAGATCTTCTGAATCTAGTGCGCTGCCCGATGCCCCAATGGCAGTGTCCTGTCTGACCCCAAACCCCCAGCACTGACACTAAGATCATCCCCCACCCACTCCACTGGGCCGATTCTTCAAATGTCAGAAAATCAGCTCTTGATGCAGGTCACATTCTCACACCTGAGACATGGCCAGCGGTAAAGAGGCCAGTAAAAAACCCAAAAAATCCTTCACAGATGCCCTCCAATCCCACATGAAGAGTGTGATGTTGACACACCCATGCAAAAACAAAGCCCTTGATCAATCCGAATGGAAAAAGGAGGCCGGTTTGTCGAGATCCAGCAGCAGAAATGGAGAAAGGGGAAAGGAGACAAGAAGACTCCACAGCCCAACCCAACAATCCGCATCCTCCTCTTCCATTGGCCCCACTGGGACAAGAATTGTGGGTCTTGGATTTGCATCATTAGCTCCCTGCAGATCCACCTGTGACGAGTGACCGTTTTATTGGGAGACAATTAGTCTGGAAAACCGAGGGAACTCCAAGCTCTCTGGTGTTGCAGAAGACAAAGGGGAGATGGGTTTCCAGGTGGACAGCCTGAAACTAGGGTACCACTGAGCCCTCTGCCTTCCTCACCCGGGCTCCCTCTCAGCTCAGTGATGCTTGGACAAGCTGCAAACCTCTCCAGGCCCTGCACTTACAGCCATCCAAAGGCAGGGACACGCCCAGCTGCAGTGAGAGCCAGCAATATACAGGCACCAACCAGTTCTCCCACTATTCTGTGAGGTCTGTGAGTCTGCACAACCGTTGCCCAGACAGGTTTTGGGGGGTTTTCAGCACTTTAAAGACTCACAAAACATGTCGATTGTTTCGTTAGCTGTCGTGGTCTTGGCCAGTGGACATTCATTACACAGTCTGCCCCTCCCTCAGTGTGGAGAGGACATTGGTAACCTGAGCTGGAACGTCCTGAGCACTGCAATGAAAACTCACCGTTTTAGGGAAATAAAAAAGAATTGTAACTACAGAAAGACGAATTTCACCTGCTTATAAGTAGCAAGTGGAAAGAGCCAATTTGGTCACCTGGGAAATATAAGTGAACCCAAAACCTGAGTTCTATAAATGAGACGGAGCCGGTGTCTGACCCTGATAAATGGCTGCCCCATTGCTGCCCCTGAAATGCTGCTTGTGGGTTTTCCCAACTTCACTCCATATTCCAGTAACACACTCAACGAAAAACTCCATAACCTCCCGCTCAGTGACAGCATTTACAGTCCAGCAGGATATTCATGTTCCACACATCGGACCTTTCAGAATGGTCCCTGCCAAGGCACTTTGTACAAACAGGCCATAAGTCTGTGACCTGGTGAGAGAGACTCATGGAGCTGAGGCCAGAAGGAGCCCTCACAGCATTTAGTCTAATCTGTACCTCACAGACCAGGCCCTCATCCACAGTGTCCTACACGAGAGCCAATAACGTGTGCTGCACTCGAGCTGGGCGTGCGGGGTTTGGGCATGAAGTCATCACCTGCCCTGCCACTCCTAGGCACCATGCTGTTCCCATTGGAATCCAGCCAATGGGAACAGCGGGGAAAGTCTCCAGACAGTGCGTCCATGCACTGTAGTTCCTCCAGCTTGGGGAGGGGAAACGGCAGCACATAGAGCTGCTTCTGGCTCCGTTTCTTCCCCATGAGCCAGATCGTACATTGAGGCTTGGGACTTTCTCCCCCTCCCCCAGTTTGTGGTGGTGGGGAGAAATGAGGCTGGAACACTAGGACAAGCTCCCTGCTGTGGGTAGAGGGACGGAGGGAGAAATGGGGCTGAGCTTGAGCCATAAACCACCTAGAAGGCAGACACGGACCATGAGTGCGATCTGCAGATCGCAGTTTGAGAACCACTGGGTACGGGCAGCGCTCTAGGCAGGTAACACCCACTTATGCTATTAGAGCTGGAGATATTGGGTTCAGTCCCAGTAATCCAACCAGGAACTTTGTTACAAGCAGTGAATAGAAGAAGGTAAAAACAGCCACACTGGGGCACCTGATATTGGCCACTGATGGCAGACAGGACTCTGGGCTGGATGGATCTTTGGTCTGACCCAGTGTGGCCGTTCTTATGACATCAGTGATGTGCACCCAGAGACACCACCTCTCCACTCAACTCCCCTTGCCCCAGCGTCGTTGTGAGAGTTCAGCTCTGGCCCCAAAGCCCCTTCCAGAATTTGCATTTTCTATGATGCTCATGAGTGGCTCTGCGCTTGGTAATAAGGCCCCTTCGGGCAGATCTTGTTCCCACCTGGAGCAGAGACGCTGTCTAGAAATGCCCTTCCCCTGGCCTTCGGGCCCACATTGCCAGAGGGTGGAAAGGTTGCAGGAGCCAAAACCCAAGGCACGCTTCTATGTTACACCCACAGCCATCCCCATGTGCAAGAACCAGTCGGGCAGCTCCAAGCTCCAGTTACTCAGCTGGCCCCACCCACTGTGCCATCACATGTACACACGCGAGGTTGAGGGCAGGCACAACCATTGCCCAGACAGGTTTTGGGGGAGTTGCCAGCTGGGCTTTAAAGCTAAACAAACTTGGCCCTCGGCTTTTCCCCCTTCACCCTGCCCGAGGTGCCATCTCCCATGGGGTCAAGTGTCCTCCCGGTGCCAATGACTCATCTATCTCCCTCCATCCAAACCCAAGTCTTCTCCTGCTCTCAGTGGCAATGCTGGCACAACCATTGCCCAGACAGGTTTTGGGGGAGTTGCCAGCTGGGCTTTAAAGCTAAACAAACTTGGCCCTCGGCTTTTCCCCCTTCACCCTGCCCGAGGTGCCATCTCCCATGGGGTCAAGTGTCCTCCCGGTGCCAATGACTCATCTATCTCCCTCCATCCAAACCCAAGTCTTCTCCTGCTCTCAGTGGCAATGCTGGGGCGAATGCAGAGGACCCTGTTGTGGTGACCAAGACCCAGCACGATGGAACTGAGGCTGGATCTGGGACCAACCACCTTTTCTCCTCCCCACCCTCTTTGGAAAGTTTGGGTCCCTCTCTGTGACTCAATGATCCTCCCCCTTCAACCTTTCCTCGTGGCATTTGTACTTGGTGGTTACCCGGCTTTGCTCCTTTCTCTGCATCTTCGAGTGAAAGCCACTCCTCCTGACTGTCTTTCTTCCGCTTCTCTGTCTCTGTCCCTCCAGGGGAGCTCTGGGACATGGTTCAATCTGATGAGTTCTTCAGCACTGGGTGCAGCCTTATCCCAGACTGGGCGCCCGTCCAGTCAGCCCATCAAAGTGTCCCGGCAGCAGCAGCCTGGGGCTCTGTACAAAACAGCCAAGAGTTTTACAGGTGGTGACTTCCGCAAAAAGGTTTGTTCTGTGACCCTTCCTCCGCCCCACTCACCCCCTCCACATTCGTCCCTTTCAGCAACTGCTTGCATCCTGCTGGGCCCCTAGACGATGGGCACTATGGAGAGAGGTCTGTCTGTAGCATTGCTACTTCAACCAATCACTGAATTAGATAAATCTATGAAGGGTCATTCCATCAATGGCTATTAGCCAGCATAGGCAGGGATGGTGTCCTTAGCCCGTTTGTCTGGAAATGGGCGACAGGGGGTCACTTGATGATGTTCACTCCCTGGGGCATTTGGCATTGGCCTCTGTCAGCAGAGAGGATACTGGGCTGGATGGACCTTTGGTCTCACCCAGCGTGGCCATTCGTATACTTACAGAGCCTAGCACAATGGGGCCCAGGCCTTTGATTGGATTCCTAAGATAAATCAGTAACAATGTGATTGAAGAGCTAACGAGCATTATGGGGATCGTTTGTCATTCATCCTCTGGTTCATGGCTACATCACTCTGAACGATGCGTAAATTACTAATAAACCTTCCTTTCTCCCCCGTGTTGTCAATTTAGATTGTAAGCTCTTTGGGGCAGGGACTGCCTTTTCACATAAGAACGGCCACACTGGATCAGACCAAAGGTCCTTATAGCCCAGCGTCCTGTCATCTTATAGTGGCCAATGCCAGATGCCCCAGAGGGAGTGAACACAACAGGTAATCATCACGTGACCCTTCCCTTGTCACCCATTTCCAGACAAAGAGAGGCCAGGGACATCCCTACCCATCCTGGCTAATAGTCATCAATAGACCTAACCTCTATGAACGTATCTAGTTCTCTTTTGAACCCTGTTAAATCCTGGTCTGTACAACATCTTCCGGCAAGGAGTTCCGCAGTTTCACTGTGTGCTGCATGAAGAAAAACTTCCTTTTGTTTGTTTGAAACCTGCTACCTATTAATGTCATTTTGTGTCCTCTGGTTCATATATTGTGGGAATAAATAACTTTTCCTTATTCCCTTTTTCCACACCACTCATGATTTTATAGACCTCTATCATATTCCCCCTTAGTCTCCTCTTTCCTAAGTGGAAAAGTTCCAGTCTTTTTCATGTCTCTTCATGTGGCATTCCAAACCCCTCATCATTTTTGTTGCCCTTTTCTGAACCTTTCCCAATGTCAATAGATCTTTTTTGGGGTGAGGTGACATCTGTGGGCCTAGCATGGTTTTATAGAGATGAGATCACCTCCTTCACCCTGCGCCCTGGATTTAAAAAGCCAGCTCCCAAGTGGCCAGAGAAGCTAGCAAACCAGGGGAGGTGATGTGAAATCCAGATGCACCCAAGCTCTCTAGACAAAGGTTGTTCCTGGCCCCCGCCACCTCCAGCCATGCACAGGAACAAACAAACAAAACACCCCAAGAGTAAAAATAATGCAGGCAGAAGCCCTGGGCCATCACCCAAACCCTCTGCACCCCCTTTACCCAGGTCACACCTCCCTCCCAGACCCTGCACCCCCTCCTAGATCTCCTCTCTCAAGCCACAATCCTCTTCACTCTGCACCCTAATCCACTGTCCCAGATCACAACCCCCTCCTTTACCCAAACCCCACACCTCCTCTTGCACCCCAGACTCCTACCCCAAGCTCCCTACAGCACACAACTTCTATCCCAGACCCAAAACCCCCTCAGTGGAAATGTGGCCCTTGAGCACTTGCCAAAATCTTGGAGGGGCCCCCGCATTAAAAATTATTGCCCATCCCCTGCTCTAGGCACTGGAGGGGGGCCCAAAGACTCCACACACGTCCCCCACCCCCAGGCCAATCCTCACACTGCTGCCTTGATTTCTCCTCCCCCTGCCCTGATGTCTGCACCCCCCCATCCCCTTCCTGAGCCCCCACAGCCACCCCAACTCCTGCTCGGAGGCACCTGCACCCCATCCCTTTCTTATTTGTCATATCACAGACCGCCAGCTGTCCTGAGTGCCCCTCCCTTTTACAGGGAGTTTGCAACACAACTGTATCTGTACGACATGTAAGTTACTTTCTTTCACCCCTGGGAGAGACTCTAGATGGTCCTGGTTTCTCTGTGGGTGGGTCCTAGGGAAGGCACATGAACCGACGTAGGGGGCAGCCACCAGTTACCCGGCAAGGAGCCGGAAGAGGCTGCAAGAACACAGACATGAAAGCTGCCTCCATCTTGTTTTACATTCTCACTTCCTCTCCCAAGCAGGCAAATTAGAAAGAGTCTGGTAGCCCCGTGTTGCAGGAAGGCCAGGACTAGAAAGAGACGAGGAACAACGATCTCTTCTTCCCCCAGCATTTTGCTCCACATCTCTCAAGGCCCCTTCCAGTCCTGTGAGCCTACAGCAACCCATGCAATGGAGAAAGTGGAGTCATAGCCCTCCCTGGGAATCCTGCTCTGAAGCAAAAAAGGGGACAGGGCGGGGAATTTGTCAGTGCTGCCGATTCTCATGAATCTGTCCCAAGGCTGGTGATAGTTAAAGACCTTTTCATCCCCCCTCAAAGCCCCGACTGGCTGGTAGATGCTAGGGCACTATAAATGTCCTACGACAGCAACAACGGCCAGGGAACCGGAGGGGTTTTGCTAGGGAAAAGAAAACGTTTTTCACCTTTGTAGTTGGAGCTTGAAGAGACGGAAGCTCAAAAAGGGAAGGAAAAGGCCCAACATTCATTCTCTCACTCACTCTGCCGCGTTTCCCACGCCACAGGGGATGAGATGTTCCGACTTTATACCCAATATTCGGGCGTTTCTTTGTCTTGTACAGATGCCTCCAACCCTCCCTCTCCCAGTCACCTGACTCGATTTTTCACACTTGCTGTCTGGTTTTGTCCATCTCTGCTCCTGACAGTGTAATTATAGATTGAACTTTCTGGTCCGCGATTCTCTAGTCCTGCAACATCTGGTCCAGCAGGACCATGGATATTGCTGGACCAGAGAGCCCCAGTGGCTGAGAGTCGGGCTGCCGGAGTGGCGGCTGGGCCAGTAGCAGTCAGATGGAGGTGCAGAGCCCTAAGGGAAACTTTGGTGCGGCAATCTAGCCCTAGAGACTACAACTCCCATGATGCCTTGAAAAAAGGAGAGAAACTGGCTCTCTTCCAGGCTGTGCAGGGAGGAGAGAGTTGGGTGACTCCAATTTGGAAAGAGGAGCCAGATTGCTGTTGTGGAGCCTGTACCAGCTCCTGAACTGGTAATAGAAGCTAGAGCCTGCTGCTGAGAGCCTACTGGGGCTTTGATCTAGCAGGCTGATTCAGGAAGTGTTGGTAATTGCTCAGCTTACAGGGAGCACTGGTGAAGGTGATAAGACAAAAACTGCAATTTATATTTCTGTTTGTGACACACTTGAGGAGATACTTTTCCTTTTTAAACCTTTGTTGGAAGAGCTAGGTAGTGTTTCTTTGCCTTGCAGGCCTATTTGCACTTTGGCAGAAGGTGTGACTGCCACTTTGAGCATCAATGAGAGGGTTCAGCGAAGGGAGTAGAGTGGGTTGGCAGAATGCATTGTCCATGACTGATTGTGCTATGCAAGAGCGAGTCTGCCAGCAGCAAATGGTCCTGTTTGAATGCTTCATGGGCATCATGACAAGCAGGTGCCAGAACAACTAGGCCAGAACATTGACCCATGTTTAAGTCCAGCCTCCTCCTGTAGCCACAAATTCTCCTTCCTGATACCATATTGGCAATCTGCTCCTAGTGAGGACCTTGTCTTAGTTTTGCACCATGACCTTGGAATGATGCTGGGTGTTCCCTTTAGATTTTTGCATCAGATTCAGGTCCCTGCCTACTCTGAATTGGACTGAATTTATTTCACACAGATAACTCAAAAGTACAGAGGGTAGTAACTTTTGATCACTACCAATCTAGGCCTGTTTTAAACCAGCAGCATAGAGATGAATAATTCATGTATCCCACTATCCATGTTGGTGGCGTAGCCAGAAGGGGACACTTGGGTGGGCCCCGACTTCTGATGGGTGGGTAATAATGGCAGGGAGGGGGGGGGGGGGGGGGGGAGGTGGGGAGAGGTGAGCGTGGGCGGGACTTAAGGTCAGGGCAGCACTTGGGGATGTCACAGGAGCTAACTCAGCTGCAGCCCTTCGGAGAGAGGCACAAACCTTCCCCCTGGGAGAGACAAAGAGTCTGTGTCAGTGTCACAGCCGCTGCTGCGGGTCCCTCGGGA